TCAATCAAATAATGCTGATGAATATAGTCATAAAGAAATATTAGTTGAATGGGTTGCATGTGATGGTCTTCCATTTACTATTGTTGAGACAGAGGCTTTTTGTAAAGTGGCTACAAAGATAAATATCTTACTTCCTTTTGCTGACACAATAAAATGTGATTTGATGTACCAATATACAATTCAGAAAACCTTATTAAAAAAAGCATTAGAACATAATACAAGTAGGATATCACTTACTACTGACTTGTAGACTAGCAGCAGCTGCTAGGACTTTTTGGGCATTATTGTCTGTTGGATTGATGAAAATTGGGAGCTAAGGTCACATATGCTTGATCTTGTGCCCTTTGAAGGGCCGCATACTGGAGAAAATATAACCCATTTTTTTAGTATAGTGTGTGAAGAATTCAGTATTATTAATAAAATATTAGGTATTACTATTGATAATGCTGCAAATATTTGCAAGTTTCTTAAGGAGTTCAAATTGTATTATCAAGCAGCTGGTGGTTTATTTACTAGAAAACATGGGCATGTTTGTTGTATTGCTCATGTAATAAATCTTGATCTTCAAAGTTTTTTATCTTGTTTACATTCAGAAATAACAGATCAAAATAAAAAAAATCTTTATATGCCTAATAATACCACATCTCAAGTTTCTACTATAAAAAACTTTGGCAACTTATTGCCAAACTTCATGCTACACCACAACATCGCAGAAGACTAAAAGAGCTATATTTGTTAAATAATATTTAATATTATATTCCAATCCTTGATTTAAAGATAAGGTGGAACCCAACACTTCAAATGATTGAGCGGGCTCTTATCATGACTCCTGCAATTGAAAATATAATTGATAAAATTTCCGAATTATATAAATTCTGTTGTTCAAAGAGTAAATGGGGTATTTATTATTAAAACTTCTAACTAAAACCCTAATCTTATTTGATTTAATTTTTTTTAAATTTTGCATTGCCATGTTTCTAGTATAAATTAATAATTTTATAGATTATTAATTTTATTTTTAAAATTAATTTTAGATATACTTAGTGAAATATTATTATCTTTAAAGACTTTCCATGATGTATCTGAGGAACTATGTGGAGAGTCATATGTACAATGCCTCTTGCTATCCCAGCATATAACATGATTATGGATGATCTTGAAAAACTCCAAGAACATGGTCCATCTAATATAGTAAATGAAGCCATTGAAGAAGCCTTAATAAAATTAAAATGTTACTATACCAAAAGTGATGGTTCAATATATGCTGTGATGACCTTGCTAGATCCTTAACTCAGAAAAGCATATTATGAGACAGAAAATTGGGATAAGGTGTGGGTTTCTTGGGCAGTTGAGTCCTTGTATAATGTATATAATAGCTATGATTTTAGTACTTCTAATAAGAAGCATTGCTTTGATCGTGTATTTAAAAAGATTTAACAGGTTAATAGTATACGCGAAATTGAAACTTATTTAAATAATTCTTTGGCTGATGCTTCAACAAATGTATTTGAGTGGTGGAAGACAAATGCTAAACATTTTTCAAACCTGGCAATTATAGCACGAGATTATCTTGCAGTGCTAGCAACAAGTGCTCCATCGGAAAGACTGTTTTCTAAAGCCTAGCCTCAGGTGTAGCTACTAAAAAATGTAAGTCACTCAATCCAGAACTATTCAAAAAACTATTGCACTTGGTAGTTGGATAGATTTCTAAAAAGTTAGAATAATTTTTATTAGAATAAATAAAATTTTAATTTGAATAAAGTATGTAATATCAATAGTAATATACTGTAGTACTGTATATAGTACACAATTTAACACTAATGCTAATAAAGTAATTTAGATTAAATATTTTATTAATCTAAATTTGTTAATAAATTTAAAAAAAAGCAAAGCGACTATACTGTACCTCATTTATATTAACATTAGTTTCAGCAATACTACTCTTTTCTAAACCTCCAATATAAACTATAAGACTATTATTTAACAGCATAACAGTATAAGCCACATGAGATATTGGAATATTATTAATAATTCAAAGATTTAAGTTAGTGTTTTTGTATTAAAAATTTTTTTTTTTAGTATAAACAATTTCAAAAAAATAATAATTCAGATAGTAATATGATGTTTAAGTGAAATTACCTTTACTATTTTTTAATAGTCTAGATTTTCACTTAAAAATCTTCTTGAGTTATGTACTTTAAGGATGTCTAATATAACCTTTAAGATCATTAATATTTTTTGAAGTTTTTTAATATTGCTTCTATAGTGGAAATGTAAGTTATATACAAAAACAAAAATTTTTTTCACAAAACATATTCTGAAACTACAAATAATCGTATCCATTATTCCTAGCCTTAAGGCTATGTATACTGGTTTTTTGCTTCCAATTAAATATTTAATAGTTATCAGGAAGTGTTTATTGATTAATATATAACACAAATTTATTGAATTGTTTATACAGTTTATATTTTTTATTTAAAACAATATATTTCGTTAGTTTATTATTACAGCAGATTGGCAGAATTAGATTTTTATTTAGATACTTAAATTTGAGCCCTAAATTTACTTAATAAACACAATAATATAATTTATTACCCTTAAAGTCATCAATTTAGGGTCTAATTAAAGGACAAATTCTGCCAATCTGCCGTAATATAACTATAAGGCTTTTTTATTTCTGAAGCAAATTAAATTTGTTAAAGTGCAAAATAAAAAAATCTATTTTTAACCGGATCTCATACAGTAATAGATTATACTTCATTTTTTCTAATAGATATGGTGAATAAAGGCATCGTGACTTAAGTCATGATGCTTTTATTTACCACATTCATCAGAAAAAATGAAGGTATAACTTTTAATGCTTTTTTTTTTTTTTGCTTTTGCCTTTTTAGAGATAGATCAGTCTAGTTATTTTCTTTTGATCTTGCCTTTTTAGAGATGGACTATCCTGGTATCTAATAAGACCGGTTTATTATATATAGAGTCTGGAATCAGGCTAAGCTATCCAGGCCCGACCCATGCTGCAAAAATTCGAATTAGGCCATATTAGGCTAGGCTTGGATTAAGCTCGTAAAATACTAGATAATACAAAAAAGCCTACAAATTACAAAATATTAGCTATTTTTATAAATAATTTTTTCACTACTTTTATAATTGCCTTAGAAAGGAATTGAACCCAACTATTAATTATAAAGACTAATAATACCAATTAAAGCCTATTTAATAATTCCTTACACCTGGATTCAAAGGCGAACTATTTTAAAATATTAAAATAATCTAGCATTTTAATGTTTTGCTTATAACAGATTTAATTTACTAACCCAAATATCTAAAGGCAAGCTATGTTTTAAGGTGAATAGCAATAAGCCTAGAATTTTTGGAAATTCTCTACCTCTGAATTATTATAGAATAATTCTAGAGAAAATTAGAAAAACTCAGCCATTCTATTTAAATAGAAAAACATTATTATAAAAATTGCTAGTTTTTATAATTATTTTGAGATTTGATTGCTTTGAACAAATCACAACAAGTTAGAATCCTAGTAATTATAGGGAAAATAGATTAAGTTACACTAATAATCTGCAGGTACTCCCACAGTTATCCCACAAATTATAGATAAACTAATCCCAAAACCCTTAAATTTTCTATTTAAAATAATAATTATAGTTTTAAATTAATATATATATATTATTTAAAAAACTTAATAATTATAAACAATTAAATTTACCAAAAATTATGCTTAGGTTTGTTTCAACTGCCGTGGTTGGTTTCAAATGATGACATCAAGTTTTTACAGTGCCACCATCCTGGAGATTGAATAGATTCTTCTCTACCTTGGAATATGTGAATAACAATTAAATCCTTAGATTTAAAAAATAAGAATGGAGGTCTTCCACTAGAAATTTACTATAAGAATTGTCCAAAGCTATATATGTCAGATTTCTTATCATGTTTATATCCATACTTAAAAAGACATTAGGGTTCGATATATGCCGGCATTCCATGAATGATTGAGTTTGAGGTCATAGACATTTAATTTGTCTCCTTTAATAGTCCAAAATCTATAATATTTGGTTGTCTTTGATGAATTAAAATATTTTTCAAATGCTAAATTATTAAAATAAATTATTATTAAAGTACACATTAGTACTAATAATTTTATAGTTAACTACCTTGAATTTTAGAATCTTTAGCTTGTGCAGATAACAATATTACAGGAATCAGTTGAGTTTTTATATCAGATCTTAACGCATCTAATAACTTATGTTTGGTCATATTTGGCATCATGACATCTATTAAATTCAAGTAATATAGTATAATTTAATATTCATTTATGTATAGTAAATATAGATGCCACGATTATAATTTACTTGCCACAAAGTATTAAATCAGGTAATTTATTAAGCCTTTTTAAGACTTGAATAGCATCTCGGCCATTGCAAGCACAGTATATATTAAATTCTTTTAATAGTTCCACTAAATAATTTCTACAAAACGTTGCTAATAATAAGAAACAAATTTATAAAATTCCTAATATTTACCAAATAAAATATTACCGCATATTATTATTATTATCAACAATTAAAATTTAATATTTATTATTGTTATCCGCAGTTAGCATTATTTTATTGTTCATATTTTGATAATTGGTTGATTCTTGATTCATTTTTTATTCATTGTGAGCTTTCTTCTAAATAAAGTTGTCAATTAGTGCATAATTCATGAACATGGCTTTCAATGTTGTTAAAGTGTATTTGATTTGTTGATAAATATTTACATCCAATTGGAAACCAACATTTAAATATCATTCCATGATTTACTATTGAAGTCTCAATAATATCTCCACTATGGTGCGTAATAAACTCTTTTACAAGAGCCAGGCCTATTCTAGTACTTTCGAAGCTATGTGACCTTGAGATTCTACACAATAAGAACGTTGGAATATATATGGAAGAGTGCGATTGATAATATCATTGGTACTAGACTTTAAGATTTCTCGCCTATCCTCGGCTTGACTTTTGTCATCAAGAGTCATTATTGCTAACAGATACAAGAATTAAATAATTATTTCAAAAATCCAAAACTTCGATTTATCGTTATTTATCAATTTTATGATATGGGTATGTGTAATTTCTTTAGTCTTAAACCAGTCCAAATATAGAAAAAATTGGCTACTCTTAGTTTTAGAACTGGACCAGTCTGGTTTAATTAACCCTTAAGACTATAGACTATCATGAACCAGACAAAAATCGACCAGACTAAACCAGAACTAGACCGTTAACATCCCTAGTATACAATAATGAAAAAAGTTGTATCACAAACCTTGATTCTTTCATCACTGCTGAATCCATCAAGTTGATTCAATAATTCTAACATTGCTCGTTGTATCTCTCGATAACCACTTTTTCCACTATCAAAATATTTAGTTCCTATAGTATCCAATTCATCTATAAAAATAATAGAAGGCGTTTTTCTTTTGCCAAGTTAAGCACGTCATGCACAAGTTTGGCTCCATCACCAATAAACATCTTAATTACACATATTAAGTAAAAATTGTATATAAGATATGCAAAATATCTCAATCATTCGCAAATAGAATTAAATAGTCATTATTTTTACCTGAACAAGTTGCAGGCCTGCTAATTTTAAATATGTAGAATTGGTCTGAGTGGCACAAGCCCTGGCCAACAATGTTTTCCTGTGCCAGGTGGTCCATACATTAAAACACCTAAAAGATTTTTCTTTTTAAAAATTTTTATAGCCAAAAAAAAATAGAACAAATAATATATCAAATTTTCTCTGTACCTTTTGGTGGTTTGATACCTAAATTCTTGAATCTATCAGCATATGTCATAGGAAGCACGATAGCCTCTACCAATTCTTTGATCTGCTTATCTAAACCTCCAATGTCAGTATAATCTTTAGTTGGTTTTTCATCAGCTTTCATAGCTTTAATACGAGAATTATATCTGAAATAGAAATACTCTTGTTATAAGGATTATTACGAATTATAAATATTTTAGGTAAAATATTAAGACTTACTCAGCAGGTAACATATCTAAGACTAAATAGTTTATACCAATTAAGTCTTCTGGCTTTAAAGTAGCTGGATCAACAAGTCCAATTAAAGGTAAAAAAATTGTCTAGCAGATAAAAATTTGATTAAATTTTATTATAAATAGTAAAAATAAAAAATAAAATAATGAATAGATACAATTCAAGTCTTACCTAGGGATGGGTTCGACTATGAATAGCTACGATTATTTATAGCCGATTTTCTAAATACTGAGATAATTTTTTGTTCTTGAGCTTTTAATCAAAGTTGTTTAGAATTAAATTCTGCTCATCCCATATTATAAGTAGAAAGAACGATGCCTTCTCTGGAACTCGGAAATTTAAGGTTTGTTAACATTATAGCCGACTATTAGCCGGCAGCTAGTAGCCGGCTATGACGTTAACAAATCTTAAAATTCAAAGTTTTAGAGAAGGTATCATTCTTTCTACTTATAATATGGGATAAGCAGAATTTAATTCTAAACAACTTTGATTAAAAGCTCAAGAACAAAAAATTATCTCAGTATTTAGAAAATTGACTATGAATAATCGTAGCCATTCATAGTTGAACTCATCCCTAGTCTTATCTGTTGCGTAGATGTCTTAATTACTGCACATTTTCCTTTTTAGTGCGTATCAAGGTTGATATTGGCACCATCTTCTTCCGATTCATCATTTGGATCCATGTTGAGTAACTGATTTGTTATAACAAATTCAACACGTTAGTTTGTTTTCAATACTTTTTAGGGAATTACAAAATAAAATAAAAAAATAGAAGAATAAAAAAAAAATATTGCATCATTGATATTTATATAATTAAACAAAGATAGATTTGCATAGAAGTTTGATATAACATTATAAAAGATTCCTGTCCCTTATTGTTTAATTACATACCTCAACAACATTCCCCACAAGATACAGTAATTGTTTGCTGACTTTTATTTTTTCTCTATTGTTCGTTATGCGTTGCGTTGAACCACAATAACTTAATGTCCACATACACAATCTGATTTCTATGATTGATTTAAGTTTTCCAGATGATTCAAGTACAATTAACTTGGTCTTCGGGACTATGCTGCAAAATCGATTTGCATCTTGAAAGGTGCTGTCCTGCCGCTCTTCCATTTTTACCATAAATCTAAATTAGTAACTTCATACCTATGCATATACCGGATTCTCTTGTTGGAACCGGGATCACCCATATAATCATCGGGATCTCTTGCAGTATAGGTTATACCTTTATTTTTTTCTGGTGGATGCGGCGAATAAAGGCATCGTGACTTAAGTCATGATGCCTTTATTCGCTGCATCCACCAGAAAGAATAAAGGTATAATCTATACTGCAAGAGATCTAATTGTTACTTAAAAATACCAGGCCGGGCTACTCAAAACCCAACATAGCCAAACCTGGCCCATATACTGGATTTTCTAATTGGGTTTGGGCTGGGTTAGGTTTAAAAATATTTTTACCGGGATTATGAAAGCCCAGCCCTATCCAGCCCGACCCGGCTCTAGAACTATATAGAAGTGGTTTGAGTGTAAATAGTACTAGAGTGAGCAGGTGAAATGAGCTATTAGGTCATTTAAATTTATATCACCTAAATCATCAATGTTCTTAATTTTTAGTTTTTCAGTAAAATAAATTAGTCTGTTTAGTTCTGTATTATAATCAATTAGTTTATCCTTTTTTTGATGTAGAGACTTTAATTCATTGAGTTTAAACTTACCAATCTTCCATATAAAATATTTTCAGTTTTCACTAATTCCTAATTTTTGAGCTAATTCATTAGAAGTAAGTTTATTTTCTCTTTTATAGTGAGAGATAGATTGGCAAAGACTATATTTTATTTTATCTATTTCACCAGTTAGTAGTATTAATATATTGCCCCAGGGTTGAAAATACTATAGTAATTTGCCGACCATCCATATGGTATATTTTTATTCAATAGTGAAGTATCAAAAAAGATACTTCAAACAATAAGTATTGATGGCCGGTAAATCACTATAGTCTTTTTAATCCTGATGTGCCCATGAACTAAATTAATAAAAATTCAGTAGTAAAATCACTAGTTACACCTGCAGGATCTGCATTTTTTTTATTTATAGATTTTTTTTTGCTACCTTTTTTTTCATAGCGTCGCATCATCAGTTTTGGTGCTGTCATTGGTGCAGTCGTCGTCAGGTGTCGTCGTTGATTCTGTTGTCAGTTGTTTGTTGCAGTGGTAACAACATAGATGTCGTAGATAGTAGTGCCGTCATTTATTGAGTTCGATTTGCCAAAGCAGTGCCTTTAATTTTTTTGCATTACTGTTTAATTAGTGCATTTAAAATTGTTTCACTTCTTTTTCTTCTATAGTATTATTTCACTGTTGGTGTCGTCGTTATTAGTGTCATCATTACGTTTTAATATTTTGTTGTGTCGGTGTCATATCATTGATGTATCCGTAGGTAATGTCGTAGTCAATGGAATTACCTACAGGTGCTATGATTTGTTTCGTTAATGTTATTTTTGGTTCTGGTTTTCTTGGTGATTAATGTTATTAATAACGAGGTTGGGTCAGGATTATTGTTAGATAGTAATGCGAGGATTAAGGTTAGGGTTAGATAGTGGTGCAAGGTTAGGTTAGGGGATTGGTATTATTTATATGTTAGATAGAATAAATGGTTCGTGTTATATAGATAAATATGAAATTAAATAAATGTTAAATAAAATAAATATATAAAATAAGTATGTAATTGTTTTTACAATTTTATTTGTCAGTTTAAGTTCGTATAACTAGTAAGCAATATAACAATTTCATAACTTGAATAACTTATTTAAATGTTGAAACAAAATCTAACTCTCCTGGACCAATATTATCTGACCAGTATTACGATCAGTTGGGAGAGCTTAATGAAATTGTGGCAGTTTAATTTGATCGTAAACAAGAGTGTTTAAGGTTAAATTGTTTAAAATGATAAACTACTTGCATAAAAAAAATAAGCAAAAAAACAATATATATGCAAATAACGTGCTATTGAGAATGACGAATTTAGTTTATCTTCAATGAGTTAGTTAACCTTAATTCTGATTGAAGTTTTTAGGTTTCTTGCACCATACGTTCCTGGTATATTGGATATTCTATGATAGAATCGATGTGACCAGATGACTCGCATCACAGTTCCGATTTGATCTGTATATGGGATGAGTTCAAGCTAATTTTTACATATAACGATTTGGGATTTTAGCTATAATATTAGTTCATATCAAAAACGTTTGACATTATAGCAAATTAGAAGCATTTTGTGAAATCTAGTAAATACTACTTGGGTTTCTACCTAATCCTAAACTAAGTAGATTTGGGCACAACCCTAATATGCATATTTATTATATTAATAAACAAACTTAAAAATGCATATAAATTTTTATTTAATCTGTTTGATCAATTTGATTTGGTCAAATATTTGATTTGGTCAAATATTTGATTTGATCAAATATTTTATTTGGGATTCAAATTTTAATTTGAGTTTGCGGAACACTAATTTAAACTTCACAATATTGTATCACATAGCACTATATTTATATAAATTATATAAGATTTGTTTAACCATAACGAATGTTCAACAGGTTTTGTCTCAATAAAGTGAATGACGATCAATGATTTTATTTTATTTTTGTCCTTCAAAATTGAACTAACCAAATACAGATTTACTATTAACTGTTGATAGCCGAAGCCGACTAAAGCCAATGAGCTGCAGCTTAAATTATAACTTGGTGGTACAAACTCAGAATGCATCAGAATCCTAGTCAGATGGGCCAGAATTGATTGATTTTGCTCAAGGTCGCTAAGAATTTTTTATTATAACTCAATTCTGGGTTTGTGCGCTTTAACATTTTTATTGGTTATATCTAAAAAATATGACCTGAATGTGGAAAAATTCACATAGATATATGCAAGATTATGAATTATCATGGTTCAAGTAATTATTAAAACATACCAGCGATCATCTGAAATTATTGTGACATTCTGATCATTCAATACAAAAACAACCAAAGTTATGTCCTAACTATAGCATTCTTAGTCTCTTTTATTACTCTCACGATTTTTAAAAATCAATTATCATGTGTTATTTATGCCATGTGTCTTCTAGCTAGAATATAAATAACATAGTAAAATGCATTAGTAAACTACATCCTGGAATAATAAAGTTAGTAACTTAATTTTTACAATACCCATTTTTAAATAGAGATGCATACGTGCACATTAATGCACATTAATATGCATGTTTCGGAACCATGTACATTTTATGCATTCCAGCCATTCCGACCTGTAAATTTAGAGATGCTCCTGTAAAAAATTGGTGTTGCTATGACTCAGTATTAGCTGCAAGTAAGTTGCTTTTTAAAGTTATAGCTGAAGCCACAACTTGTGTTATGGTTAGAGCATGACTTGGCCATGACTCAAGTTGTGGTAAATAATATTGATAAGCTTTGCATTAAATATTACTAGTTGCTATAGTAATAATGATTTTAAAGCAATATATACAATTATTTATTATATGAAAATTAATTTTAATTGTTACAAAATTTTGAGCAATAATGATTTTTAAGATTTACACCTTTTCTTCTCTAGACCTGTCGCTAGAGAGAATAATAACCAGTGTGTATTTAATTGGTAGTTTTGAAAATGTATTTAGTGTGACAAGTTACAATACAGCCATTATACTATATATTGGCTTAGTTGTTCTTCTCTATAATAATGCAGTTTGTTTTATATAAAAATAATATAATTATAAAATTTAAATAGTAATGTGATTATATAGAGTTTTTTAATAAATATATTGCCAAAAAATGGTTTTTATAATGAGGGTGTGATTATATAGTGTGACTGTAGAGAAGAACAACTATATATATATTAAGTATTCATTTAATAACTTAATACATTTAAATCTTAATTAGGGTAAAAGATTTAACATTAGGTAATTTTTTTTAAAAAAAAATCTTTGACAGTCTTGCTAGTGCTCAATTTATTAAGACTATATTTAGTGACAGTAAACTATCTCAAACAATACATTACATCATGTATTGTATTTACTGTTAAACAAGACACAGTTGCATTTCTGGATATATCCAAATTTGGGAGGTAAACAATGTTAATTTTTTGAAGAGAGTAAACCAAATCACCCACTTTTTGTCAAAAATTTTGGAGAAGACCAGCTGAGCAAAAAACACTTAGAGAGACCACTTGCACTCAAGAAAAGTAGTTATATCTTAGAAAAACCCAACAACTTCTAAACCTTCTTTTAGAAAAGGAGTAGAGCATTTATGTATTACTTTTTGGTGAGTGATAAACTTTAAACTTGTTGGCAAGTAGTATATGAAAACTACTTCTAAATGACAAGTGCTGTGTGTATAGTAAGTGATAAACTCTAAAGAAGTTAGCAGGTAGTATATGAGACTATCTCTAAATAACAACTTCTACTATATCTTCTGTTTTTACTATATGCTATTGTTTTTTAACAAAAAATATATTTAGATTTTTTGGTATAGATAATTATTGGAAAGAGTTGGTTATTAACATTAGATATTATATCATGATCAGTTATCAAATTTATTATTATAATTTATATAACTAATACACAATTCTGAAATTGAAGATAATTTGAAAAATGTAAAAAAAAATTACAAATAAGAGCCCAAAACTAA